CAGGGGTTCTGGCCCTCAGCTGGGTGGAACTGGGCAGTGGTGGTGTGAACAGAGCACTGGATCTGCAGTCTGAGTGTGCTTTCACGACTGGCTTCTGGACTCCTTGCCCTGACTTGTTCCCTTCCCTTGTGTGTTCCCTCACCCCTTTCTCTGGTTTCTTCTTCTTCCCACAGACCCTGAACAAGAATAACTTGATCCCTGATGACAGAGCCAACTTCTACCCATTGCAGCAGACCAATGTGTACACGACTACCTACTACCCAAGCCCCCTGAACAAACATAGCTTCCGGCCCGAGGCCTCACCTGGACAACGGTGCTTCCCCAACAGCTGATACTGCCATCCTGGGGACTTGGGCTCCTTGCCTTCCTAAGGCACAGAGCAGGTGGAGATGGGACAGTGGAGCCAGTTTGGTTTTCTCGCTCTGCACTAGGCCAAGAACTTGCTGCCTTGCCTGTGGGTGGTCCCATCCAGCTTCAGAGAGCTCTGGCTGGCATTGACCATGGGGGAGAGGGCTGGCTTCAGGCTGGCATATGGCTGCAGGTCCAGTTCAGCCCAGGTCTCTCATGGTTATCTTGCAACCCACTGTCACGCTGACCCTATGCTGCGATGCCTGGGCTGTGGACGTACTGGGCATTTGAGGAATTGAAGAATGGAGATGGCAAGAAGGCAGGCTTTTAGGTTTGGGTTGGAAACAACTTCCTGTGGCCCCCTCAAGCTGAGCCTGGCCTTCTCCAGCTGGCCCCAAAAACGGCCTGTGCTACGTCCTGATGATCTCTGAAAGTAATCAATCAAGTGGCTCCTACGTAGCTCTGGATTTTCTGCCAGGGCTGGGCCATTGTGGTGCTGCCCCAGTGTGACACGGGACCAAGGTCAGCGCAGGTTGTCCACCTCTGCCTGGAAGTCTATACTCTACCCAGGGCATCCCTCTGGTCAGAGGCAGTGAGTACTGGGAACTGGAGGCTGGCCTATGCTTAGAAGTCCTTTAATCTGGGCTGGTACAGGCCTCAGCCTTGCCCTCAATGCACGAAAGGTGGCCCAGGAGAGAGGCTCAATGCCATCGGAGGCAGAAGTCTGGCCTCCGTGCCTCTATGGAGACTGTCTTCCAGTTGCTGCTCGACAAAGTTGTTGGCTGAGACCTGCTTGGGAGTCTCTTCTGGCCCTTCATCTGTTCAGGAACACACATACACACACACACACACACACAATCACAATTTGCTACAGCAACATAAAAGACATTGGGCTGTGGCATTATTAATTAAAGATGATATCCAGTCTCCAAATGTCTCTGTGCATCTGTGCGTGGGCTCCTCTTGCATGGTCTAGGCAATCTGAGCAATGCACCAGGGTGGCAGATGGTCTCTCAAGGCAGAGGAAATGCCCCAAGTAGCCTTATCTTTAATAGATGATATCTTTCCATTTGTGGAGTAGAAATCTACGTACAGTGTACACATACATTGCCCTACACCCTTTTTGAAAAAGATGTTGGGGATAAGCAAATTCACAAGTGGGGTCGTAAGGTACACCAAAGGCAACAAAACAGGAGAGAGTTCTGCCTGCTCCTTTAACATCTCTTCCAGGCAATAGCTCCAGGGTGTGAGTCCAGAGGGAGAGTGTTGATGAGAATTATTTTGTGAGATATTTATACTGCTGAGTTTAATAAAATCAAAATTGAGAAACAGGCAAATCTGTGAGGTGGGAGAAGCCTAATATAGTTTTCGCTGTATTAAATAAAGATAACCTCAAAGCCTCAGCCCACCAAATCAATGCTGCCATTTTGGATGAGATTGACGGACATGTTAAATTTAGAGAGCAATTTCCTGACTTAATTGGCTGGATCAATTCTCCTAGGATTCCCAGCAGAATCTAATTGTAGGTCAGGCTGTAAAATCTGCCATTCTAGTGGTAGAGGAGGCAGAGGCTCTTGGGGAGGGAGGGAGGAGTGCTTGAAGCTTAAAGGTTCTTGGAAGGAAGGAGGAGGAAAGAACATTCCTGAAATCTTTCCTGTTTACTCCGGGACAACTGGAATGGCAGTGTCATCAGCACAGTGGAGCCCCATCGGAGAGCTCAGGAAGCACGTGAGTATTGCAGTTTTGGGATTCCTGATTGGTTCCTCCTGGCCCCATATGTCCTGAGCTCATGGGGGCCTGCAGGGCATTTGATTTATTTATTTATTTTTATATATTTATTTCTGAGACAGATTCTTGCTTTGTCCCCCCGCTTGGAGCACAGTAGTGCGATCTCGGCTGACTGTAACCTCTGCCTCCCAGGCTGAAGCGATCCTCCTACCTCAGCCTCCTGAGTAACTGGGACTACAGGCATGTGCCACCATGCTTGACTTTTTTTTTTTTGAGAGATGAGGTTTCACCATGTTGCCCGGGGTGGTCTCGAACTCCTGGACTCAAGCAGTCTGTCCCCCCTGGCCTCCCAAAGTGTTGGAATTATAGGCGTGGGATTATTATAGACGTGGGATTATTATCACCACACCCAGCCAGCAGGGCATTTTAGATCCTGGGGTCTCAGAGCCCCTTGGACCTGAGGGTCATTGAAGTTTAAAGAGTGTTCCAGGGCCCAGGGTGCCTGCTTCAGAAGGGTCACTCATGGTGTGTTCAAGTGGAGGGATTAGGCAGGACTGTAGGAGGCGGTCATGGAGACTTCCCAGGCAATGCCCACCCACTGTTGACTGCAGTGGCATCAGCAGAATGCAAATCCTTGAGTGCCAGGTCAAAACACACACACACAAACACGCACACACACACTGAATTCTCTTTACAAAAATGTGGCTTTGGAGGCATGACTGTTCAGAATGCATGAAGGATCCACACTGCTCGCAGATGAGCTGACAAAGTTGGTAAGGGCTATTAAGTAAACAGCCCTGGCCCACAGATGAGGAACCCCGGGATGTGCTCCCTGACAAGGAGGGTGTGAAGATCTCTGACATGTCAGGGAGCTGAGGTGTGAAGGGCAAGGGGTTCTTCTTTGTCCCAGCTGGCTCAGCAGGAGTAAGGAAGATGCAGGAGTGGGTGCTCTAGGCTTTTTTGCACCCTTTTGTGTATAAACGACTTTTTGAGTATGTGTGCATTTTCTTATTAAAGTCATATGTGTCCACTGCAGAAAATTTAGAGGATACAGAAAACCAAAAAGATAAACACAGTTATACTGAAAACCAAGGCAGAGATTTAGGGATTTTAAATGCTGGTATAAAGACATTTATCCCTCTTTCTCTCAGAATCACCACCAAAACAGAATGAAAAACAACAGTTCTGTCACTATTTTCAGTAAATCTAGGATGTATGTGTAACCCCAAATCATGATCCATGAAGACAGAAAGCAGATGGAGGAACCAGGCATCCGGTAGAGTGGATGTGGGCCAAACTTAAGCATCCAAGTGATTTCAGAAGGAACCAGATACTAAGCATCCAAGTGATTTCAGAAAGAACCAGATACTGGAGAAACCAGGAAGGAGAAAGGTGGGGTTAAGGTGGGGACTGAAGAGAGAGGGATTGGTTGTATATCTGTGTGTAAGCTTCAGCTAGACTTTCAAATTGTCTTCACTCTCCACCCTTACAGTCTGTCACCACTCCTCTGTCTCCACAGGGGGCAATAAGTATGTTCCGTTAAGACACTGAACCAGAGAAACCTTGGACTTGGGGACACCAGGCCCAGAGGTGGGAGTGTGGTAAGGGGTTGTTTGGACAGACTCGTTGTCAGTGGCATTCAGCCATTGCCTTTCCTAAGCTAACTCCAAGACTCTGACAGACAGGCTTTTCCTTCCCCTCTTCTTCTTCCTCCTCCTCCCCAAGTAAAAGACTAGAAGATGACCCTTTGAAGAAATGAACTAACCCTACAAATTCTGAAATAAGCCAGCTGCTCATCATGCTATGTAGTCCTACAGCAAAGTACACTCGTTTACAAACAGTACCCTGTACACAGAGCTTGCAGTTAATTTTTAGGGCATCCACACTGCTTGCAGATGAGCTGGCATAGTAAGCAAAGGCTGTTTGGTAACCAGCCCTGGCCCCAGAGGTGAGGAATCTCAGAATGTGCTCCCTCACAAGGAGGGTGGTACGAATGGGCACATAAGGATCACAGACACCAGAGGAAAAGGTCCAACATGAAAGAGACACCAAAACAAACAAATAGATAACGTGGATCTCAGTGACAACAGAGACAATACAGAGAGAGCACTTCAAAGACACCCCATTCTTCAGAAATAAGTGAAGATACCATATGAAATAAACAAAGGATGTAATTTTTAAAGGACATACTTAGGTTCACAGAAATTAAAATATATGACAGCAAAAAAAAAAAAAAAAAAAAATAGCTAAAGGGCT